CTTCCTTCCGAGGAGTGGCTGGTGGGTTTGAACCGCCAGCCTTCTGGTTAGCAGTCAAGTGCTTTAGGCACTATGCTACCAGAGCTCCTTGTTTTATCCTAAAAATGTTTAAAAGTGAGTAAACATTGACAATATTTCTATATACTTAAATAGATATATAAGTATATACTTATGCATATAAAATTTTGCCCAATTATGACCTCTTAACAAATTTGTTATGTACTGATATAGAGAAGTCACTTAAGATAACTTGTTAAAAGAATAAGGCAAAGAAAAGTTATGCATGGTATCCTTCCCTTTGTATAAACAGGGGAAAATAAGAATATATATTCATATATGCTTGTATTTTCATAGATACCATGAGAATATTTAAGACATAAAAGGGGCTATAAAAGACTATGGACGGGAGGTAGTATAAATGGGATAGGTGAGGGGCAGACTGGAAGATGGGTATCTTTTGATATTATTTTATTTCTGAATCATACCAGTACCAGTTGCCGTTCAGTTGATTCCAACTCATGACGAACCTATTTGTGTCAGAGTAGAACTGTGCTCCACAGGGTTTTCAACAGTGGATTTTTCTAGAGTAGATCATTAGGCCTTTCTTCTGAGGTACCTCTGGGTAGGCTCAAACCTTCAACCTTTCAGTTAGCAGCCTAGCCCTAGCATGTTAACAGTTTGCACCACCCAGGGACTCCATTTGAACCATGAGTTCTCAAAATATGTTTTCTATTGTTTATAAAAGAAGCAAGCTGAATTTCCCTACCTGCCCTGCATGCCAGGCAGAGAGAAAGCTGTGAGCCACAGCAGAAGAGAAGGAATGGAAGGCTGGATCTGGGACATAGGTACATGAGGGAGACTGGATGAATGAAGAAAAAAAGTGGAACCCACGAATATAAACATAATTTGGAGTCAGACTGTGAGAGTCACACTAGTAAACACCATGCTAGTAAATTAAGGCCTTGGTGGTAGGCAACTAGGAGTTGCTTATGTTTCATGGGCAGAACTTTC